GGTGCGCCCATGATCACTCGCGCGGCCGCGTTCTGGTTGGATACTGTTGGATACTGTTTGCCATTTTTAACTACTTCCTTTTAGTTCTTCTTGTGTTACGATGTGACTGAGGTAGCATCCTTGTGTTTCATAATCCATCTTTCAATCCTTCACAGGGTGCCAAGAAGTTATGCCCTCAGTGCAATACCATCACCTCACCAGGAGACCTCAGGCGCATTTACTTATGAAAAAGACGGCTGCTGAGATACTTGAACTATGGGGACTTGGGAGAAGGAGTGGCAGCAACCCAGACACTTGAAATGAAAGACTCCAAAAGTGGACTAGAGGCTAAGGGAGCCGCACGATGCCTCTGCTTCCGAACCTGTCACTGGTGCTGCCCACTCCACAAGAAGGCCAAACCAGAATCCTAATTGTGATTCGTTTTTCCTTTTTTACAAACTGCTGTTCCATGTCTGTCCCGTCTCTCCAAGAGTTGGGGTTCCATCGTGGACAACTTGCAAGACCTTTCAGGGAAGCATGAGAAGGTGCTGGATCTTCCACCGCAGGAAATGTCCAAGCCTGTAATCTAGTCTCCTTCCCACCCTCTTTTTATTTGTGGTGTTCTAGTGGATTTTTTTAATAAAAGAAAAAACTTATACCTTCACATCCACAAAGGCAGAATGAAGCACATGTAATATAGACTATATGTTTACAATGTTGTGTATAAATGGGATAGACTCCAACGTTACATACTAATGTTTTCCTTTTTATTTTTTCCGGGGGTGTGTGTGACTTTTTTTAAAAAAAAGAAGAGAAAAAATAAGCAGAGAACATTAAACCCATATTTTTCTTGGTTCTGCAGAGTTTTTGCATTAAAGTCATTAGTTTAAAAAAAGTATATAAATATATATTATACATATATATATAATATAAATGGTTTAATGTTCTGTGGTGTACATTTCCTCATTCAGATATAAAATTAACAATTTGTAGTTTCGGCCATAACTTACATGACTTCTGGGGAAAATAGAAAAAAAACAGATTTTCTTTCATTTGTTACAGTTAAGTGGGCTATTTATATAAAATACTTGCTTCACGAAAAACCCTTTTCCATTTTTTCACTTGGGAAAACAAAAATGTGCAAGCTTACCCCATTCCCTGTGAACAAAGTCATAGCAGGCATCAGTAGACTTTTCAGGCACTAAATATTCTTATGCAAACCTCTATGGTGGCACTAGCACCAAAATATTTTTTTAAAAAACATGTCTGAAATCTTGTAAAGTTTTGGCAATCATATAATGTTTCAGCCATGTTTTAATTTTTGGGTTCGAGGTGTGCCACCTAGGAGTGTTGCAACTGCCTTAGTAACAAAGGACATCATTAGTGGTGAACTCTGATAGGCACTCACACAAAGCAGAAAACAGTGATTTTTGTCTATTATAGATGGAATTGTTAGCGTAGCTGTGTTCAGGCCAATTAGTCTTGTGAAAGCTAAAGCTATCTTTTGTCCAAATGTAAGTGTATTCATCAACCTGCAACCTTACTAGAATTAAATTTGAACAGTGCCCCAAAATAAATGCAGAAAAGCACCTAATGTTCTTTCATGCCTCTGGCAGAATCTTTAGCATTGTGCTTTGATATGTTCCCAGGTCCAGCTACTGGCAGTCTTTTCTACTCTGGAATATTTTTCTTAACAGCTGTTTCATCTAATTTTCAGATGTTCATGTTTCATTTTGAAAAGGAAATAGGTATGTGCCAGTTTTGCTTCCTTCTTTTGTCACTTCTGCTTGGGCTGTGGTAATGGTGGAATGTAATCTGGGTTTGTTCAAAATTAGATTAATTTAGATTCCATTCATTTCCTCGGCATTCCTTACAGAAACATTTTCTTAGCCCTTTGTTTTGCATTCTGAAAATAACCCTGTCAGTCACTACCTGCCTTAATTTTTTTTTAAAACCAGTTTTTGCATGCACTGCCAAACATGCCATTTTGTAATCCATTCAGGGAACACTTTATAAAGTTGTTATAAATTCTGACAGGAAGTTATCAGCCTGCTTGATGCTGACAGGCAAATAAGCCTATAAATCACTATTTAAACTGGGGTTACATCGTGAAAATTAATGGAATTATGCCCCTGGGTCTACTAAACAACTTTTTCTCTCTTTTCGTTAATTCCATCTTATACTATATTTGTGGATTTAAGCCTCAGAAAGACATGATTGCACTAAAACATCTGGCTTGATTATCATGCTTATTGGGAAAACCTTTGGCATGATACTGATTAGACCACAAGATTTTTTTCCTCAGTCCAGGATTCTTTATTCCTATTGAGTCAAACAGAGAGTGCACTGAATGCAAGTTGAAGACATCTGTTGTCAATCAGCCTCTTATGACACAGTTTCATCCCCATATGCATAACAATTATCTTATGGAGAATTGTTTTTTATCCTTAGGTAATTCTGAGCTCCAGAATACCGAAAACTATCTGAACCAGTCTGTCTCTGTCAAAATGTTGTAGCAGTTAAGCAACACATTGAAGGCTGATTTGTAGCTCGTATTAGTTGTTGGAGGTGGGTAGGAAGGGGGCGTGGGGGGACAATTGGTTCAAGCAAATATTGATCTGGCATCCTAAAGGTGCAACAGTTTACAAGAGCCATAAAGCATCTAGAACGCTATTTGTTTGGGCCCAAAATGCCACAACTGTATAGCACTTATACCTTCCCAAATCTGCTGTAATGGGGATGATACCATGAGTCACTCAAAAACCTGCTTGCCCAATGCAATCAAACATTCTTTGCTGGGACATTAAGTGCACGGTTACTCTTCTCTGATCTGTTAGACAATAAACTAAAAAGATTCGTTCTTGATGTTCCAGCAAGTTGACACTGGGAATAAAGAGCTTTTTCTGGTCCTGTGGACTAATTCTAAGCCAAATGAATATATGTAAAACCACATATAACTATTAGCATTTATTTTAAACCTAAATCTGACCCTACGGTTTTTATTTCTTGAGGATAAGGAAAGCAGAGAAACCTCTTAAGACGGATGCAAAAAAAACCTAACTCTTTAATTTCCTTCTCTGGAGAAGGTACATTTTGCAGAATTCTGTAGCTGCTCCCTCCTTTCCTCAATGAGCTTGAAAATAAATGAACTGTCTTTGCCCAAAGATTCCCAGCTGCACAAGGTGGTATTAAAGTTGTGTCAATGATTGTGTGTCGATGTATATTCTATAAAAAGGTACTTGTCATTCCCGTTTGTAAACTACATTGACATTAATTAAATGAATATAAAAGCTTCCAAGTTGTGCTTCCAGTCGTTTTATCTTAGTTTGTCAGTTTCAAAATCAGGTACTTCTCTTGGAATTCATATATCCATTTATGTCTGAGTCAGTGTTGATTCCTGGCAACCACCTGGATAAATCCCTTCAGTTTTCTTGGGAAGGTTTTTCAGAAGTGGTTTGCCATTGCTTACTTCTTGAGGCTGAGAGAAAGTGATTGGCGCAAGGACATGCAGCTGGTTTTGTGCCTAAAGTGAGTCCAGAATCAAGTCTCCTTGGTCATAACTTGGTTTAACCACTACAACCAAGTGGCTCTCCCTCTCACATATAGTCGCTGTTAAATCATAATCAGTAATTGTACATCCTTGGAAGTCCTTTGTAGCACAATGGATATCAAATGACTATTAGTCCCCTTTTCTGCTTTCAATTCATTGCCTTTTTCTGTTCTATTTTTAACTATTACAGCTTTTTAGGCAGTTTACAAGTAACTGATAAACTTTTATAAAGTCTACTTCATTTTTTCAAAAATTAATTACAATCCTTCTGGTCATTGTTGTAAGCAGCTGCAAAGTTACAAAAAAAATAAAGCCTTACCATTCCTCTGACATATTCCAGAAACAATGTGAAAATTATTCAATTTTGCATAGCAGTGGAATAATACTATTTTTAATGAACAATAAAACAGGCAATTATAAAGGAAATATTAAGCCCCAGTCATCTTCGTGCCTGTTAGCACAGGTCCTACAGAACATAAGAATTTCTCCAATAATTTTGCTCCAGTACTTTTCCTCTTCCAACACTGAATTACACCTTTAAATCATGCTTATTATAGACCAGTAAGGTAACTAATGCTAAAGTGACTTTAAAAAAAAAAACTGTTTAAAATATGTCTTTCCTGACACATGTGATCTATAGTAGACTTCATTTCCTCACAAAAAAGGGTTGTCCAGCCCTGCAACAGAAGACCTTTGTGCTTTGCTATCAGGAACTACAGTAGTNCTGAAGAAACAGATATCTACTGATATTAAGTAGATAACGAACCAGAAATCTGGGGGCAGCTCAGTTGAGCCGCCGGCGACGGCAAGGTCCCTCCCCGGAAGTATGAGTGCTCATTTCTTGGTGCTTTCTGAGCTAGGATGGTTTCATTATGCAAAGTAGGTAACATCAACAGCACTGATAATGTTACCTACTTCGGGTAATGAAATGTTTGCAAGAAAACAACCAAGCTCAGAGAGCACCAAGGACCCCTTATAAATACTTTGTTTGATTCTTAAATAGGTTATCTGGAAAGTGATAAGTTGTTTAAAAAAATATTCTATTATTCCAGATACTGAGAACATCATTTTACCTGTCCTAAAAATATACACTGATTAAGATAAAATTAAATTTAAAAAAGTTGGTATTTTTATACTCTTCTAATGTTTCTTTTCTAATAGTTCCTGCCATGGAATTTGGAATACCGCTGGTCAGTTAAACAGCCAATCAAAATTACAACAGACAAAACCCATTTTCAGAATTACAATGGGCACGCACACCCCTGCGGACACATGATTATATTTTGGGCACTTTACAGCCAATTCATCTTTATGGCCATTTGTAGCGTCCTGTCATCATGTGATCACTATTTGTGACAGTTTTTGCCAGTTTCTGGCATTTACTTCCAATTTCCGGGGGGAAATGTCCATTGGTGAAAGCGGATTTGTTTAATGACCAACATAAAAATGGTTGTAAGTTCAAATCCGGTCATGTGATTCCTCAACTTGCCACAGCAATAACTTCCAGGTGGGAGCTAGTGGCATGTAGGTTATGTATGACTTTCTATAGGTTCCCTGTATAGCATAATGTTTATGGGTTCATTGTGTGGTTTTATAGTGATATCACTTTTCTATACTTAAGTCTAGGCTGAGGCTGATGGGGGTGGAAGTGATGATAAAATTTAATGATTCATTTTCATAGATCAAGATGTTGAAAATATCAATGAATATCTGGTTTTAAAAAAAAGCTTTAATCTAAGGGGATGGAGGAGCCGAGGTGGCGCAGTGGTTAAATGCAGCACTGCAGGCTACTGCTAGATCAGCAGTTCAGCGGTTCAAATCTCACCGGCTCAGGGTTGACTCAGCCTTCCATCCTTCTGAGGTGGGTAAAATGAGGACCCAGATTGTTGGGGGCAATATGCTGACTCTCTGTAAACCGCTTAGAGAGGGCTGAAAGCCCTATGAAGCGGTATATAAGTCTACTGCTATTGCTATTGCTATCTTCTTTGCTGAGAGTATGGGTTTTAGGGCTAAGTGAGCATCATTTTGAACAAGAAATTAATGGAAATTTTAAAGATTTGTGTTAAAATTCAGATGTTACCTTTACTGCATATTTCCAATGAAACTTATTTTTTCCTCATTGTCTTTCTGTGAAATCAAAAATTACACTTTAAAAGGAGTCATTTTGTATTTTAAAGTCCAACTCCCTGTTTCTTTATCTTGTATTTGGGACAAGTTATCTTTAATTTCTAAAGTTTGCTTTCCTGTATCTTTTAAAATTACCAACTCTGATGTCTATAAATGGGCATTCTTCCATGGTGATCAATTTATGATGGGACTGATAGCATTCTTAAAATGTTGAGATTTGCTGATCAATTCAAAAGGATAGAAAATATCTAGTGTTTATCTTCACTTTGATAAATATATTAAATTATGTTGCCACTTAGCTTACTTGAAATTCTTCCTTCTTTCCTTGCATCTCTCTTCCATGCATCCTGTGCATTTGGGGTGAACAGCATTGCTCATACATTAGGAACATGAAAATGCTCATTTCAGAACCTTCTAATCAATGTACATTTTTAGAGTTTAATATGTTTAAAACTGTTTTTATCTAGAGCATATTTGCTGACCACGTACTTCTCTTGCAGTTGGTGCAGATCAGCTTTTATCTAAATAACTTGGCAACTTTCTTCTTTTCTAGACAACCTATTACTTGCTGTTCATATGTACACTGTGAGCTTATGCACCGGAGACAAATTCCTTGGGTGTCTGATCAAACTTGGCCTATTCTATTCTATTCTATTCTATTCTATTCTAACTTGGACTCTGAATGTTCAGCTATCACGTTTTAAAATTTAAAGCAAAATTACCTGTTCTTTTGTCAAGGCACTGTTCTTCTGATATTTGTGAGAAATAATGACTTTAATAGTGGACTGTGCTCATTAGTTTTTGAACTCCCCAAAATGATTAATCAACTTTCAGAATCAATATCTGCCAATTTTTAATTAAGAATGTATGAGGTAAACAAAAAACTTCTCTTAATTATTTCTTTTTAGTGCTGTGTTTTACCCTGGAGCTACATTTTACAGCCATGTTTTATAAAACCTGGAAAACTTAAGTTTATAATGGAAAGCCTGAGGTGGCCTTCACTCATTATACACTTCTGTTACTCATCAAGACTTTTCCATGGGTCATGATGAAAGGAATAGAACATTTCTGAGGGTTTTTTTGTTACATTATGGTGTGTGTGCGTGTGTGTGTCATTCATCCATCATTCAACAAGTGTGGCATATTATTTCACTATTTTTATTTCAAAATAAAAGTTTAGCAATCACAACTGGCAAGTGAGCTGGCAAACGGAATTGGGAAGGAAAGCTTTTTTCATTGACTCTGTGCCAGTGTATGTGTCTGAGGCTTGTATAGAGTGTTTCATGTGGAATTGAGAATACTTAAATTAAAAATAGCTTAGCAAGTTTTCAAATGAATGATATATTGCACCAGCCTATTTTCTTGGATATAATTGAGAGGTCTTATAGTTCTGTATTCAACTCTCTGATACACCATATGGCTTAGAAAGGCTGTCTGTTCTCAGAATGTTATTCACATTAAACTTTTTTTAAAATTTTATTTCATCAGTCAAACTTGTGTAGTTGCATACAAGCATTTGTATTACTAGTATTGTTAGAATACAGTATGTCTTAAAATCATCTACAGATTTGGCTGCAATATATTTTTGTGCAAGATAAATCCACTGAATAAGCATTTGAGATTGTGTCTTCTATATCTAAATTTAGCTAGGACTTTAAATATTCTTCTAGGAATGCATTCAGAGTGTTAATTTTCATATACTCCATTCCCAAGTGCAGTATATATCTTATTGTTAGATAGAGAGGCAGATTTTTTTTTTCTTGATTCCCCTTCCCCTTTGCACCATTTGGTATCCCCTTGTTGGGGATCAACAAAGCTTAGCTGTTGTCTTGTTCTGCCAGTGGAACTCTTCTGTTTGTAGAAAAATGACTGCATTAAGATCATAATCCAGATTTTCACCACATATGTTTGTGTGTGTTTATATTATCTGTAATATATCTGTATCTGTCCGCCTCGTGCCAACTCAGCGAAGCGGTGGAAGTAATGTGCCAGTGCCTGGAGGCTGTCAGGGTCTGGATGGGAGCGAACAAGCTTGCACTGAATCCAGACAAGAC